GACGTAAATTATTTTTGAAATTTACTCCTCTCACTGTTATAGAGAAAAAAAAATTTCAAAAATATTACAAATTTTTCTTTAATTCCCGCCGAAAATAATCGGGACAATAGCAATGACGTAGTGGAGATAATTATAGAGAACTTCTTGGAAATTTACTTATTCTCTGTCTTTGCCACTTTTAGGAAAAAAATTAAAGTTTTCAAGAAATTTTCACAAATTTCTATTCCGGTATATTATGAACAGACAAAAAAAATTAGAATAAAATTTAAAAAAATGAAAATAATATTAATTAAAATTTGAAAAAATGCAAAATAAAATCACTAAAAATTGAAAGAAAATTTTTTTAATCATTTAAAACTGTAAATTTTCATTTAAAAAATTAAAAAATCTTTTTTTTAACTTACTGCGATCAGTCTCGGCCCATCGCTGACCTTCATCTCGGAGAGGCTCTTGTTCAATTTTATTTTTGAAAAGAACAAAAAAAAACACTCACTCTCTGTCCTCTTGTATAAAAAAATTTTTTTTTGGATAAATGTACCTTCTTCTTGCAAAATATCCAAATTTATCCAAACATGTCGAATTTATCCGAAAGTTACCAAAAAAATTCCAGTCCATCCAAATTTATCCAAAGAAAATCAAAAAGTATCCAAAGGCACCAAAAAATATCCAGAGTATCCAAAAAGTTTTCAAACGTCCCCAAAAATATCCGACAGCGAGGTGTTACCCGGCCCGAGGTAAACTCGCAACTGAAGAAATGTTTCGTCACGTCATTAACTATTACCGTTAATTGCTTTTTAATGACCTTTTAATTTCCTGGAAATTTAGTCATTTTTCTCAACTTATGGGCAAAACTCAAAATTTTCGAAAATTTTTAAATTATTTTTTGCTACATTTTGCGGGTAATAACAGGGACACAAGAGATGACGTAGAAGGGATGATGACGTAATATTTTTGAAAATTTACTGCTTAACTTTTTCTCTCACTCTTATGGAGTAAATAAAAATTTTCAAAAATATTACAAAAATTATTTGTATTTCTCGCAGGAAATAAACAGGACAAAAGTAATGACGTAGAGGAGATAATGACGTCATCTTTTTTGGAAATTTCTTATTCTCTTTCATTCTTATGGAAAAAATAAAATTTTAAGAAAACATTTCAATAATTATTTCTATTTCTCGCAGGAAATAAACAAAACAAAAATAATGACGTAGAGAAGATGATGACGTCATATTTTTTAAAAATTTCTTATTCTCTCTCATTCTTATGGAGAAAATACAATTAAAAAAAAATTACAAAAATTATTTTCTATTTCTCGCAGGAAATAAACAAAACAAAAACAATGACGTAGATAATGACGATGATAATGACGTCATATTTTATATAAATTTACTTTTTTCTCTTTCTCTCTCACGAAAAAAAATTTTTTCAAAAACATTTAAAAAATTATTTCTACTTCTTGCAGAAAATAAACGGGACAATAACAATGACGTAGAGGAGATAATGACAGAAAACTTCTTAGAAATTTACTCATTCTCTGTCTCTGTCACTCTTAAGTCTTAAGAAAAAATTTAAAGTTTTTAAGAAATTTTTACAAATTTTTACTCTGGTATTTTATAAACGGACAAAAAATTTAGAATAAAATTATTTAATATTTAAAAAAATGAAAATAATATTAATTAAAATTTGAAAAATTTTAGAACAATTAGAAATGCAAAATAAAATCACTAAAAATTAAAAAAAAATCTTCTAATCATTTAAAATTATAAATTTTAATTTAAAAAATCTATTTTTAACTTACTGCGGTCAGTTTCGGCCTACGGCTGATCCCAATCCTGGAGATGCTCTTGTTCAACGTTATTTTTAAAAATAACAACAAAAAAACACTCACTTTCGGTTCACTTGTATAAAATAAAATTTAGTTATACTAATTATACCGTTCGGTTATAAATAATAATACACGCGCACTTCCCGAGCTAACGCTCCCGAAAAAAAATCAAAAATTGAAATTTAACCGAACTTGAACAATTGGTTTCACCCCCACTACACTTCCCAATGTTTTTGGATAAATGCGCCTTTTTCTTGTAAAATATAAAAAAATATCCAAATTTATCCAAACATGTCGAATTTATCCGAAAGTTACCAAAAAAATTCCAGTCCATCCAAATTTATCCAAAAAAAATCCAAAAGTATCCAAAGGCACCAGAAAATATCCAGAGTATCCAAAAGTTTTCAAACGTCCCCAAAAATATCCGACAGCGAGGTGTTACCCGGCCCGAGGTAAACTCGCAACTGAAGAAATGTTTCGTCACGTCATTAACCATTACCGTTAATTGCTTTTTAATGACATTTTAATTTCCTTGAAATTTAGTCATTTTTCGAACCTTTTAAGGGCAAAAATAAAATTTTCAAAATTTTTTTATTATTTTTTTGATACATTTTGCGGGTAGTAAAAAGGGCAAAAGAAATGACGTAGAAGGGGTGATGACGTAATATTTTTTTGGCAAATTTCTCTCACTTTTATGGAGAAATAAAATTTTTTTAAAAATATTACAAAAATTATTTCTTCTTTTTGCAGGAAATAAAGGGTAATTTTCTTTCTTTTTTTCTAGCAAAATATTATTTTATTTACTCTCTGAAATATGAGAAGTTTATTTTTTTTTATCATAATTATCCCACGAGAAAAAATTAGACCGAGAAATTCCCGGGAGTCACTCCCGATAAATTCTCGGGACTTTTCAGGAAGTGAAAAAGAAAAATATTTTTTTGTATTCATTTGTTTTTTTTCACTTCCGGTAAATTGCTGGGAGATTTCAGAGAAATTTTTGGGAATTTCTATACAATTAAATTTATTTTCCATAAATATACATATCTTTTTAATAAAAATCATATTTTTTTTCTTTCTTTTCATTGCAATTTATATACGATTAATTAATACAATGAGAGAAGTTGGAGTCTGCCTAAAATTTTCTTTTTCTACTGAAATCATAATTTAATGAAAAATAATTGACCTTATAAATCAAGAGAATTTCTAATATGTCGTCTGATTAAAACTATTTTTACTACTTACGGGGGAATTAACACAAAATTAAATTTCCCGTCTGACTAAAATGTACTTCTACTACTGAAGTCCGTTTTTCTATTACTACTAATTAATTGAATATTTGACTGAACTTTGTGTTTTTTAACAAAAGATTTTATACACCGTCTGACTAAAAATGTTTGTACTACTTAATAAAGAATAACCAAAAATTTTCGTTTGTGTCTGACTGAAATTTACTGTTACTACTGAAATCATACTTTTATTAGTAATAATTTGTGGAATGTGACTGAATCTATTTAATACCGTCTTACTAAAAACTACCATTACTACTTAACATATAAAACACAAATTTAAGTTTCTTGTCTGACTAATATTTACCTTTACTACTAAAACTATATTTTTTCTTCTGATAATTAACAAAATAAAATAACAATATTTTTCATACAATGACGGCTGACAAGAACTTTTTTACAACTTAAGGGAGAATAACACAATTTTAAATTTTGTCTGACTAGAATTTACTTTTACTACTCAATTCATTTTTATATTTAATAAGTAAAGGAATATTTGACTATGTTTATAATGCAACTTCTGACTAAAACTATTTGTACTACTTACAGGGGAATAACATTAATTTTACTTTGTGTCTGACTAAAATTTACCTTTACTACTGAAATCTTAGTTTTATTTGTTAACTAATAATTAGCTAAATAATAATAGCCAAATTTAAATTTCTTGTCTGACTAATATTTACCTTTACTACTAAAACTAAATTTTTTCTTCTAATAATTGACAGAATAAATTAACAATATTTTTTATATAATGACGTCAGACTAGAACTTTTTTTTATTACTTTTAAGGGAGAATAACACAATTTAAATTTTCGTCTGACTAAAATTTACTTTTACTACTCAAATAATTTTTATTACTAATAATTGACGAAATATTTGACTATAAGTTTCTAATGCAACGTCTAACTAAAACTATTTTTACTACTTACGGGAGAATCATACAAATTTAAAATTCTTGTCTGACTAAAATTTACTTCTACTACTGGAATCTGTATTTTTATTAATAGACCGAATAATGGTAAAATTTTTAAAATGATGTCTGACCAAAAATGTTTTTACTACTTAAGGGAGAATAACATAAATTTTAATTTCTGTCTGACTAAAATTGACATCTACTACTGAAATCATGTTTTTTTTTAAATTTTACGAATAATAGACCGAACAATTGGTAAAACTTTTAAGATGACGTTTGACCAAAAATGTTTTTACTACTTAATGGAGAATAACATAAATTTTAATTTCTGTCTGACTGATAGTTACCTTTACTACTAAAACTATATTTTTATTGCTGATTGGATCGAATAAAGTAACCAAATTTTATATGATGTCTGACTAAACCTTTTTTTTCCTACTGAAGGGAGAATAATACAAAATTAAATTTATTTCTGACTGAAATTTTTATTTTTTTTTTAATCTTTAGACTAATACTAGAGGACTTTTGAAACTTTAGTACTTAAATATTTCTATTATTTTATAATTTGACTGAAAAAAAATCTTTTTTCGCTCCTAAAACTCGTTTTAGGGGTGTATTTCATAAAAGAAAAATTGTTTCTCGATTTGCAAAAATTAATGTCTCTTCTTCAACCTTTGTTTTGACTTTAATTTGAATAACATCAAACATATTAAGAGACAGGGTGTCTAGTTTAGAAATTTTTTTTCCCACCAATGGCAACAAAAGGTAAAAGTAAAACAGCAAAAGAAAAGTGGTAAATCTGCAATTGTTGCAGACATTTGTAAATTGTATCTATATATATATATATATATAAAGAATTTTCTTGGCAAAAAGCTACAAGGGGGCGAAATAAGAAAAAGGTCACACAAGAAATAGAAAAACTAAATGAACAAATAGCAATAGTGTGCGGTCGTGTGTCTTGAGGAAAGTGCCTGAAAGAATGACACAGGACGAAAGGACGAGACTATAAGAGACAACGGGATGAAAGAGTGTATAAGGGTTGAGGGAGAGAGTGAGAGAGAGAGAAAGAGAATTACATGTTATACCGTCCGCGGAGGCTGCGCGGAAAAATCGATAAAAGCAGGCGGTGAGATACGCGAAGTGTGGCAGACCGCGCAGTCAGACTTGGACCGGCACCCCAAATAACACGCGGTCGCGTTACCGTTACACATTATCATTAGCGTGGTGATACTTCCGGTTTCAAAGAAAATCCCTTTTCATTAGAAATTAGGAAAAAAAAATCTCTTTTTTGTTTCCTCAGGAGAAAAAATACTTGAAATAATTTTTATTCACAATTTTCAAATATTTTAAAGGTGCATTGAAATTTTTCACACAATTCGTATTATTTTAAAAATCTCTTTTCTTCTTTTTTTTTCAACGCTACCTCATGTTGCTTTCTTTCCCCACATCTGATTAGCATTCCTCCCCTTATTTTCCAAGTAATTAATTCTATTTTTCTTTACTTTTCACTTAATTCTGCTTTTCAATTTGGCTCAAGTTTTTTTAAATCTCTATTTTATTACTGTTACTATTTATATTATTATTATTTCTACTTTAATAATTATTATTCTTTTTATTATAATCATTATTTCTACTTTAATAATTATTCTTATTATTATTTTTATTAATATTTTTATTTGGATAAGGAAAAAAATTTTTCCCTGAAACAGATACAAATTTCACTATATTAGAGAAATTTTTATTTTTTTCGGTTTAAAGTTTCATTGATCTAGAGAAACTTTTGGCTGCTCCGGATGAAGCTTCTTTTTCGTGTAGTATTATTTATATTTATTTATTATTATTATTATTATTATTATTATTATTATTATTATTATTATTATTATTATTATTTTATTATTTTTATTTATCAATTAACAGATTATTATTCAATTATTTTTATTATCATAATATTATTATTAACATTTTTATTTTATAATAATAAAGTTATAGTTATTGTAATTATTAACGATTACATTTTCGTACAATTAGTTGAGCAACTATTAAAAAAAATAGGGAGTAATTTAAAATAAACTAATTTTTTACTGAATTGAAACAAAATAAGAAAAATATTTTACAATTATGATGATTATGATAATTATTATTATTATTACTTTTATTATTATTATTATTATTATTATTATTATTATTATTATTATTATTATTATTATTATTTTTATTATTATTATTATTATTATTATTTTTATTTTTATTTTTATTATTATTAATATTAATAATATTATTCAATTACTTTGGGAAAAATTCTGGGAAAATTCAAATAGTATTATTCAATAGTTTCGTGAAAAGTTCTTAAAAAATTCAATTAATATTATTCTTATTATTAATAATGCTATTATTATTGTTATTGTTATTGAAAAAACTTTTAATTAATAATGAGAGTAAAAACCATTTTTTTTTCTTCCCTTAATTATTTTTTACTGAAAAAAATTACTTTATTGAAGTATACCTACGATTACTTGTCAATTACGAAACAAATTTGTATGAAATAATTTTCCTTTTTGTATTAAATATAATTTGTTTTAATCACTGAAATTATTGGTTTAAATACAATTTATTTGATTTCAATTGAAAATTATTTGAATCATGTAAATATTTATTCGGTTATTGACAAGTAATTAATTATTTGAATAAAATAAATTTTGTTTATAGTGCTTTACATAATTACTATTATAGTTATTATTATTTATTAATTTTCTAATTATCGTATATTAATTACTCGATTGCGATGAACAAAAGAAATCAATAGTGAATTAAAAATTAATTTTTTCACTAAATTGAAACAAATTTCTAAAAGAGGCCTTTGTGTTTTAAAATTGAAACTGGTGAATAAAACGAAATTTTTTTTTTTGATATTCAATTGTTGAAAGAAAATTTGTTGAATTTTTTAAAAAAATTATTTCATTTTTTTCAAGACTAAAAAATAACTTATAAGAAGATAAAATATAATAAAAAAATATATGAAAATAGTATTTTTTTATATCTGTAAATTATAATAAAAAAGTTATTTAATAAATAGACGTAAATTACTATAAAAAAGTTATTTAATAAATAGACGTAAATTACTATAAAAAAAGTTATTTAATAAATAGACATAAATTAATATAAAAAAGTTATTTAATAAATAGACGTAAATTAATGTAAAAAAATTATTTAACATATCGATAGAAATTAAAAGAGGAAAGTTAATAAATTTCCAGATAAAAATTAAAAAAAGTTATTTATTTATAAATATGATAAAATAAAACTTAAGGCATTCAGTTGCAGATTTTAATATTTTGTAAATAATGTGAATAAATATTTGTAATATTTCTTTTCCTATAAAGAAATCGTAAAGAAAAAGTAATTTATCAAAAAAAAAGGAAGAAAAGAAACTGAATGGTACTTAGATTATCTTTGATTGTAAGAAAACATCACGGGATCAATTTGATTGGTTTCCCCTTTTTTTCGCAAGTCGAAATCTACCCTAAATTTACACGCGTTTACCGTTTAGGGGAAGCTGAAAGCCTTTTATTTCTGTTAATACGATTCTTTTGTGTCAAGGGGATGATTTTTTTATTTTGACGACTTTTTTATGGAATTTTTGGTTTTTACCTCGGAGCCGAATGAATATTATGATACAATATTTATATTATAATATAAAATTTATGCTATAATGCAAAATTTATGCCATAATACAATATTGATATTAAAATACAATATTTATATTATAATATTCATAGTAATATTTACAAAATAATCAAAAATAATTTTAAACAATTGCAATATTATTTCTATTTTTCATATTATTTATATAATATTTTGTTTATTCAGTAAATATGTATTGTTATTGTTAATTTATTGTTAATTTAAATTAAAAAACTTGAAATAAAAATTTCTGTTTATAGGTATTTATACTATTTACCAAATTATTTTGTAACTATTTGAATTATTTGTAAAATTTTGTAAATGAAAAAATCTGAATACGTGATTATTTTGGTTTATTTAACAAAGTTTCTTTTTTTTGCCGGTGTCGTTTATACGCAGACGCGTAGCACTGTGATATGGTAGCGTCCTTATTGAGTAAATTTCCTCGAATTTACTCCAGTGAAAAATGTCCATAAAAGAAATATTTACTCAAAAACTTGTGAATAATAATTATTAAATAATTTTACAATAAAATAACACGAAAGTTACGTAATAATTGTCATTGCAATTGTATAGTTATTTTTTTTATAACTTTAAATAATTCATACAAATAAAAATAAATAAATTCACATTTTATACAATTAAATAGTTTTTAGACAAAAAAAAAAAATTAGAAACAAATAAATAATAGAAAAATATAAAAACTTTCTGAAGAATTAAAAAATTGTTGCACTTTTATTTCGTTTTGTTAAATAAATTTTTGTGCCGGAAAATGTGTGTGATAATTCTAAACACCCTTTTTTTGTTAATTTTTCAACGAAACAAAAAAATTTTTTTTTTCAAAAAATAGATGAAACGGGAGAAGAAATTTTATTTTGTATTGACATGATAAAATAAACGGTGAGAAGTTTTATTCATTTAGTGATTTTTCTTTTTGTGGAATTAAGGAGAAAAATAATTAAATTAAAGGTAAAATTAGTGAGAGTGGATGAGATATCTATATTAAGTAGAGAGGGTCGCTGCCCTCTGTTTTTTACTTGGCGCACCAGTCACGTTTACAGGGTTAAACAGCGCCGGTTGAAAAGGATCTCGATCCGCCATTCCGATTTCCGGCAACTATTTTATTATTTATAAAATTGTAGCAACTAACAAAATTGCCAAAGCAAACGTATCGCACTTAATTTTCTAGAAAAAGAAAACAGTTTCTCTCCATTATCCACAATTTCAGACAATTATTATTGCTATCGTTATTTTTTTATTAACAGTATTATTATTACTATTATATTATTATTACTATTATTATTGCTGTTATTACTATTTTAATTATTATTGTTATTATAACTATTATATTTATTTATTTATTTCTATTACTACTAATTGATCGAATATTTGACTCAACTTTGTGATTTTTATACAAAAGATTTCATACACCGTCTGACTAAAAATATTTTTACTACTTAAAGAAGAGTAAGCAAAAATTTTCGTTTGTGTCTGACTGAAATTTACTTTTACTACTGAAATAATTTTATTACTAAAACCTGACGGAATATTTAACTAAGTTTACAATTCAACGTCTGACTAAAACTATTTGTACTACTTACATGAGACTAACACAAATTTTAGTTTGTGTCTGACTAAAAATTATCTTCACTAATGAAACTCTATTTTTATTTTTACTGAAAATTCGCTAAATTTTTATTCTTTTTTAAAAGAAAGTAAAAAGACCTGAAGGAGTCTTTATAAAGTCTTTATAAAGTCATTACTACTTAACGATGAAATTTCCTGTCTGACTAAAGTTTACTTTTACTACTGAAATCATAACCTAATGCAAAATAATTTACCAAATTTTACTGAATTTTTAATATGTCGTCTGACTAAAACTATTTTTACTACTTAGGGGAGAATAACACAAAATTAAATTTCCTGTCTGACTAAAATTTACGTCTACTACTGAAATCCGTATTTTTATTACTAATAATTGACCGAATATTTGACTGAACTTTGTGTTCTTTAAACATAAGATTTTATACACCGTCTGACTAAAAATGTTTTTACTACTTAAGGAAGAGTAACAAAAAATTTTAGTTTGTGTCTGACTGAAATTTACTGTTACTACTGAACCTATCCATATATTACTAATAATTTGTGGAATATGAGACTAAAGGTATTTAATACCGTCTTACTAAAAACGACCATTACTACTTAAGGGAAAAACACAAATTTAAATTTCTCGTCTGACTAATATTTTCCTTTACTACTAAAACTTTATTTTTACTTCTGATAATTGACAGAATAAATTAACAATATTTTTCATATAATGACGTCTGACTAGAACTTTTTTTACTACTTTTAAGGGAAAATAATTCAATTTTAAAATTTGTCTGACTAGAATCTACTTTTACTACTGAAAGCATTTTTATTACTAAAACCTGAAGGAGTCTTTGACTAAGTTTATAATGCAACGTCTGACTAAAACTATTTGTACTACTTACAGGGGAATAACACAAATTTTAGTTTATGTCTGACGAAAATGTACCTTTACTACTGAAATCCTATTTTTATTTTTACTAACAATTCGCTAAATTTTTGTGCATATGACTGACTCAAAAAGTATTTACTACTATTTATTTATTTAAGTATTTATTTAAATTTCCTGTATGTCTAAATTTTTTTTTGCTAATGAAATCATAATTTAATGGAAAATAATTGACATAATAAATTAAAAGAATTTTTAATATGTCGTCTGACTAAAACTATTTTTACTACTTACTGGTGATTAGCACAAATTTAATTATTATTATTATTACTATTATTGTTTATTACTATTTTTAATTATTATTTATTACTATTTTTCTTATTTCTACTATTATTGTTGTTACTATTTTTGTTGATACCATTATTTTTATTATATTATTGATTTGTTTAATTAATCAAGTAGCAAAAATTAAATTTATTTTCAACTTGGATACTAAATATTCGAACTGTTATCATTTTATCAGATCAATCATTAAATTAATGCTCTAATGGAAAATCTATTAAAATTGTCTCATTTGATCCCTCGTGGCTATTCTGTACAATATATGAATTTCAAAATTGTCAAAATTAATTTCTTAATTTATACTGAAAATCAAAATAAATAAATTCGTTAATTAAATAACAACAACAACAACAACAACAACAACAACAACAACAACAACAACAACAACAACAACAACAATAATAATAATAATAATAATAATAATAATTGTAAAAATAAAGAATTAATAAAAAAAATAAATAGATAAATAGAAATAAATTATAATAATTTAATAATGTAATTTAATTAGTAATTAAAATATACTAATTTAACTTGTAATTTAAAGACTAATTTAACTACTAATAACAATAGCAATAATAATATTAATAAATTTTGAAAAATACCTAAAACTATTGGAAATTTTGTATATTTTTGAATGTTAAATTATTTTTTTTTTTCATTAAATCTGCCTTTTTTAAAAAAGTTTTTTACACTTGAAAAATCTCATATGCTTTAAAAGGGAAGCATGTCAAGAGGAAGAAGTATTTCAATAAGACCATCCATCTTTCTCAGAAAACTCTATGACTTTTCTTTTTTTTTACTTTCTTTATTTTTCTTTTTGATACTTGTGACGACGTTAAAAGCTTTAGACTTACAGCTTCTGCAGTGTTTTTAGAAACGTTGTAATCGAATTAAATAATCTAATAACCAATAGATTATTGCGCTTACGCCATTGAAAATAATTTGAAAAGAATTTTTTTAAAAATTATTTGATGTCATTTTATATATTAAAAAAGGTTTCTATAAAAAAAAAGTAGAGATTACAAAACTTGATTTTTAATAATAATAATAAAAAATAGTAATAATAATATTAATTTATTTATTTATTTAATATTAACGGGACAAGCCCTTTCGTAATAATAAATAACAAAAATAATAATGAAGTTAATAATTACGTTTAATTTTTTTAAAAACCGTTTTTTAAGAAATAAATCATTTTTCGATTTTTCGAAGACGTATAAAAAAAAAATAAATAAAAAAAAAAATTTTTAATTTTTTTTTTTTTTTTTCTTCTTTGAAGTATTTTGTAACAAAAAGGTCGGAATAGTTATTGTGCCTTTTTATGTGCAAAATAAACAAACAATAATATTAATAATAGAAATAAATAATAACAAGGGTTATAATATTGATAATTAAAATATTTATATTATAATATGTTCATTTTTATACAATTTATATAATAAATTATAATATTATCAATAATAGTATTATTAAAAAGAACAATAATAATAATAAAAAAAAACACGAAAATAAAGTTTTTATACCTAGAATATCGATAAAATTCTCTAGAATAGTGAAATTTGTAGTTGTGCCAGATAAAGATTTTTTTTCGTGTAAATAAATTATAAAATTTTATGTAAAAAAAAATTTTTTTTTCCTAACTTCAGTGTTGATGATGAAAAAATTGAGTATTCTTGAATGCATAGTAAAAGTTTTATACGAAGAAAATTTGATGTGGATAAACGAAGAAATGCTGTGAGAACTTTCATTTTCTTATCAATGTTTGCATTTTCGAGTCTAATGAAGGCATGGACTTCAATATACAAATTGAAAAAGTGTGGACGAAACCACCAATTTTCAAGGTAAGATATAAAGAAAAATTTTCTTTTCTTCTACTGAAAATATAATTTTTTATTTATTTGTTCCAAAGTTATAATTTTTTATAATATTTTTAAAATAATTTTTTCATTATTTATTTAAAAAAAAAAAAATTGAAAATTTACATAAAAAAATAACATTGAAATTGAAATTAAAAAAAATGGTTTTTTTTTATTTTTAAAAATCAATTTTTATTCTATGGGGAAAAAATTGCAAAAAGAAGAGAATTTCCTTTCTCTCCACACTTCTTTTCTCGAATTTACTGAAAAATAAAGTTTGGTGAATAAAAAATAATAAAACCAATTTTCATTAAATTAATTCTCGAATTAATTACTATTTAGGTTTATTAATTTATTTAATTAATTTAAAAAAAAATTCCACTTGTAATTGAATTTTTGATAAAATCATCACAGAAGAAGATGAAAGTGGCAAGATAAGGGAGCAATCTTCCAGCAGGCAAGAAATGAAACGTCTTGACCTTGTTTTTGTTTTGATTTTTTTTTTCACGTGTGCATCTCATTTTCTTTCTGTCTTCTTTATTTTGGTCACTTTTGTTTAAAATGTTTTCTCTCCTTTGGGAATTGCTGTTCAGCTTTGAATAAAATTTATAAAAAATACACGTGGTGAAAAAGAGGCAAAAATAATTTATTTCTCTTAAATGCATGAATGTATTTTCTTTAAAATAAAAGTTAAATTTTTTGATATTTAAAAAAATAAAGATTTTACTGTCAAGGGAGAAGGAAAAAATTGAAATTATCGACGATTTTATTTATTGAAATTTATCCAATGTTTAAGTATTAAAAATAATTCTTAATTGGCTTCTTTTTTTTACTAATTATTATTTATTTTACAAATTATTAGCTTCTTTAAAACTAATTCTTAGTTATTTTACCAATTATTACCTTTTTAAAACTGATTATTAGTTATTTTACTAATTATTACCTTTAAATACTAATTATTTTTTCTTCCCTGATTGTTGAAACAAAAAGTCAGACATTTTACTAATAATTGATTATTTTTTCTTCCCTGATTGTTGAAACAAAAAGTCAGACATTTTACTAATAATAATTGATTATTTTTTACTAATTGCAGTGAAAAGTAAAAAGTTGTCGAAACTTTTATTAATAAATAGTTACTTTTAATTTAACTAATTCAAAACTAGAAAGTAATTTAAAATTTTTTTGAATAAAAGGTTTTTAGTGCCAGTTTTTGAAGGACTTTTTCCTACTGAAATTTTTATTTTTCCTGGCAAAGAAGTGAAAACTTGTCTTTTACTACTTTTCGAAATCCCTCGTTTCTCTTCTAGTTGTGTATTTATATATATAGTGTATGGTGTGTTCGAACAGTATTTGATTCACTATACACAAGTTAAGAAGCCCTGAGGGTATAAAAACTCAAACATTTGCAGTTTTCTAACTTTATTTTCAGTTCCTCCTGACAAGAAAATATATTTTTTTTTTATTTTATTTTATATATTCGTATCAATTCTAATTTATGTCTATTACTCTTCATATGAATATTTCTTTTACCTTCTGTATTAAAATAACAAAAGTATTATTTTGTATTATCATTTTAATATATTAATATATTAACATTTTAATATTTTATTATTTTTATTATTTAAATATAATTTTATGTTTATAATTTAAATAAATAAATAATTAAATTATTATTATTTTTTATTATTTTACATTATTTAATAGCTTTTTAAAGTAGGAAATACTTAATATATTTATTATAACGTTTTTTTAAAAGTTATCTTCTTCAAATTTTTTTTTATTTTTACTTTTGTCTTAATTTTTAATTCTTTAATGGACTTTTTCATAAACTGTTAATTGCTTTTATTTTCCTCTACTTTTTGCAAATTTTTGTAATAATTTATATATATATATATATATATATATATATATATATATATATATATATATATATATATATATATATATATATATATATATATTGTAAAAGTACTCATGGGTGAATTAAAAATTTATTGGAAATGTTGAAAATTAAAATTTATTTTTATGACTAAAAAAAGAGAAATAGTTCGATTTTGTTCTCTGTCTGATGAAAATTGACTTTCTCTACTATATTTATTTTCGATGCAATAATATTTGTGAACGTCTGACGGAAAATAATATTTACTACTCACATCAAAATTGCCAGAATTGGCAGTTTTGAAAAAATATACGTCTGACTGACATCGATTATTGCTAGTGATATAAAAATCGAATAGCAAAAAATTCTATAGCTTGTCTGACTGAAATTTGCCTTTACTACTGAAATCCTACATTTATTACTTATTGTGAGAATATTTGACTCAATTATAAATTTTATAATAATACGACGTCTGACTAAAAATATTTGTACTACTTAGAGGGGAATAACACAAATTTTATTTAGTGTCTCACTAAAATTTACCTTCACTACTGAAATACTTTTTTAAAACTAATAATTGGCTAAATTTTAAGCACCTGTCTGACGCAAAAAAAGTATTTACCACTTGTGGCTAAAATTTCCTGTCTGCCTAAAATTTTCTTTTTCTACTGAAGTCATAATTTAATGAAAATTAATGAAATTTACTGTTACTACTGAAATAACAGTTTTCTTACTAATTCGTGAAATATGAGACTGAATACATTTAATAACGTCTGACTAAAAACTGTTTATACTACTAAATTCTATTTTTATTACCTAGAATTTAAATTTTTTAATTTTTCTTACTAATTTTTACCTGTATTTTTTAATCTAATAAAATCTAGTTTTTACTACAGATTTTAAAAATCAAAGACAATTCAATAATATTTAAAAACATATTTTTTATTTACTTCCCTCTGATTATACTATTGACCTTTACTACTGAAAAAAAGAAATTAGACGAATTGTCATCGTTAACGTTGAGCTAATTTTTTTTTTTAAACGCAATAATAATTTCAAATGTCTGACATAAAAGGTCTTTTACTACTGCCAGGAGAATTGTCCGAAATTATAACGACCGACTGTGACTGATTCTACCTAACTAAACGAGAATTACTCTAAGTAATGAGTTTACGTCTGAATGCAATTTACATTCGCTACTACCAACTAAAGAAGGATTGGAATTTTTTTTTTTGTAAAATAGTTAGTTTTTACAGTCTGACAGAAAGCTGATTTTACTACTTAAAGGGGAATTATTAAAAAAAATTATTTTTCGTCTACCTAAAATTATTTCTCTAATTTTAGAAAATTTTTATTTTATTTATTTTTATTTAAATTTTATTTATTTTATAAAAGAGCCTTAAATTTTACTTCATTTTAACTGATTGCCAGTGAAATTTTATTCTAATCGACGTACTAAGCAATAAAATCACTGAAAATTAGTTAAATTTCAGTAGTAAAGGTAAATTTAAGTCAGACACAAACTAAAATTTGTGTTATTCCCCTGTAAGTAGTACAAATAGTTTAGTCAGACGTTGAATTGTAAACTTAGTCAAATATTCCGTCAGTTACTAGTAATTAAAATTCTTTGAGTAGTAAAAGTAAATTTTAGTCAGACGAAAACTGAATTAGTGAAATTAAACTAATTTTTAGTGATTCTTTTTTAATACGACGATCAGAATAAAATTACACTGAAAATTAGTTAAAAATAAAACATAATTTATGATCTTTGAGAAAATAAATAAAATTTAAATGAAAATAAATAAATTTTCCACTTACTAATTAGTATTTTTATTGCTGAAATTAAATTTTTTGCAAGAAAGCCCTAATTATTTCATTTTGAATATTTACTGTCTGTCGTAAATTTGCATTTTTTTTTTAAATTTATAATAACCGCTATTTTACTGTAAATCTGTCTGACCGAAATTTACTAACACTACTTAAATTTGATTAAACACATTTAAAAGTTTGGGTCTGGCTAAAACTCGTTCCTATACCACTGAGAGTAGAAATTTTCCGTGAACATAATAAATGATCAAGATTTCAAGGTTTCTTGTCTGACCACAGCTGATTTTACTACTTCAAGAGAAATAACAAAAGATTTTCAAGTTTTTGTCTGGTTAAAGTACTCACATTTACTACTTACGAGAATAACAAATTCGACCGTGTGATAAATTCATCCATATATAACAAACTCCACATTTTGTGGTTGAAGAAAACGTACCTTTTTTCTACTTGAAGGTGAATAAGTGAAGTTTCTGTCTGACGATAACTGACTTTTACTACTGAAAATGAAAATTTCTTATCACCAATAACATGATAACGGGAATTTAAAGTTTTAGGGTCCGGTCAAAATTTACTTATACTACTTAAAGAAGGAAAAACAGAAATTTTCCAGTTTTTGTCTGACGAAAATTTACTTTCACTACTTAGAGGAAAATAAAAAATTGTTTAGTTTTGGGCTGACGAAAATTTATTTTTACTACTTAGAAGAGAATAACAAATTTTTTACTTTTGGGCTGACAAAAATGTATGTTTGCTACTTAAAGGAGTATAATAAAAATTCATATGACTAAAAATAAATTTTACTACTTTAATAATACGAATTTAAAATTTCATTATTTTGTTAAAATTTACTTGTAGTACTTATTAAGGAAGAACAATACAAATTTTACTTTTTTTTGTCTGGTAGAAATTTACTTTGACTATTAAATAGTCACAGACAATTTTTCCAGTCTTTGTCTGACTTAAATATACTTTTACTACTGAAATAATTCCTTAAATTGTTCTTGTACTAATTATTAAGGGAGAATAACACTAATTTTACTTTTTTGTTTCGCGAAAATCCACTTTTACTACTAAAAAAGTAAATTATAAATTTTACAGTTTTTGTCTGACTAAAAAACACTTTTACCACTAACATAATTTCTTAAATTTTTCTTGAACTAATTTATTTTACTTTTTTTGTCTGGTGAAAATTTCCTTTTACTACTTAAAAAAGAATATCAAATTTTACAAGTTTTTGTCTGACTAAAATATACTTTAACTACTGAAATAATTTTTTAAA